CTAACCGACGCGAACCTTCAAGTAGATCAAGTCTCGTATGCATTTAATAACCACTCCGGCCCTTCAAGTATACCGCGCGAAGTTTGCGCGGGAAGGGCGCCAAGGGCGCGAAGGGCGCGAAGTGCGAAGCATGCGAAGCGAGCGAAGCGCGCGAGACGCGCGCGAAGCCGCGATAGGGCGCGAAGCACGTGAGGCGCGCGAAGCGCGCGAGGCCGCGCGAAGCGTGCGAGGCCGCGCGAAGCACGCGAGGCCGCGCGAAGCTGGCAAAGCGCGCGATGCGCGCGCGAGGCGCGTGCAAGCGAAAGGCGCGAAGCGCGCGAAGTGCACGAGGCCGCGCGAAACGTGCGAAGCTGCGCGAAGCGCTCGAGGCCGCGCGAAGCCGCTCGCAGCGCGCAAAGCGCGCGAGGCGCGTGCACGCGTAGGGCGCGTCCCAGGGGGACCATATCACAGTAATGGCCGGTATATCTGCCTTGGGTACAAATGTCAGCGCCCGAGTAGGGGGACGAGCGTCGCGTAACCGCACGATTGTTGTTGTTTTTTTGTTTCGAGCTTCATCTGGCACAAATTTGTTGCAGTTGTCCGATTCACTTTTGATGCGAGTCAAAGGGCAAGTAGCCAAAAAGTTTGGAGTTCAAGCTGTGGCGACCTGTGGAGACAGACGCAGTTCATCCTATCTTGTGGGCCTCGTTCGGAGGGATGCCTCGATGTGAAAAGGTGGGAGGCTACGTCGGCCAAGTTTGTGAGGCAGATTTGGATTCTTTCCACGACGACTACAAGACTACAAGCCAGCGGATGATCAGTTGACTGACATCGTCAGATGGAGTGACACTGAAGTCATGATAGCTGATCCAATGAAGGAACCTACCACGTGGGTGGAGGTGTTGAAAGCTAACACGTTCGACGTGGAACAGCCGCTCGAAAGTGCAGTGAAGAAGCGTGCAAAGCAACTTCAAAGAAGGTCGACGAAGAAAATAGAGGACGACGACTGGAAACGTCGATCCCAGGACAAAAGTCTCACCACACTGACGCTGTAAGGGTCACGGGTGTGAAACAGACCCATATTTGCAGCGCGTACAGTGTGTGCAATAGGTTTTGTACAGCGTCTTGACAGCCCCTTGACCGCATGGGCCCTTTGGACCAAGCCCATGGCATAACGGAAACGTGACTATTCTTCGCACTCTCTATTATGTAGTATAGAATATGTATTATAGACTTCTTCTAAAGATTTTCGAATATAAACTACATGTTATATAATATTCATTAAACCATATATGATGCTATATGATACTATACGATACCATGCCGGTTCCTGGTTGGAGCAGAGTAGGTGATTTTAAACAGGGATGATAAAGGTTCCTTTAAAGGTACTATAAGTGAATATTCAATTTATTCTATGGGTTTTAAGTTTTAAGGTTTAGCGGCTTTAGCGGATTTCGTAAGTAAGGTCAAAATACCGATACTGTCTGAAGCGGCTTTAGCGGATGTCGTAAGTAAGATCAAAAATACCGATACTTTCAGACAGTTATAACTTTTGTTACTTTATTTAATGCCGTAGTAACTAAATCCCATGGTCCTTTAATTGGAAACAACGGCTGGATCAAATGCAAATACACGGGGACTGGCATCCCTTCGACTCGCTGCAAGTCTTCTCGTAGTTTGTCGGGCCGCATTTATTTACTGGGAGTTGAGAACTGAGGCGTAAGATTGCAAGTTAAACGGAACCGCAACCGCAACCCGAAGTTCTGATCAGTCGCAAGACATGTTCCATGCCAGACCTTGGCACACCCAAATGCTATCCTGTCCAGACCATTGTCATGGATGGAATTTCGTAGTTGCAAACGATATTCACAGTTTGGTATAGTTTTCCTTTGGCTTGCCCAACGAACGAGCTGCATAGTATGAAGTTGAACAAAACGATGTGCCGTCAGGCTCGAGAGAAACCCCTTGCTCGGGCATCGCCTACCGGAACCAAACATAAATAAAAAACTTAGTTCCACGCTCGGTCTCCCAGAAGCTTAAACACAAACAAAACAGCCCCAACCCGAAACTGCAAAGCCGTACCACCTTTCGATCTGTGGCGAAGCATATGCCACTGGAGCTCAAACCCCAGACCTAGCGTCGAAGACCTAAACCCTAAACCCACACCTTAAATCCGCAATCCGAAAAATTCACCTCAAACCGGTAATCTTGCGGAGCGAATTCGTATCGCAAACGACGGCCACATGCGCATGCGAACGTCCATATGGCGTGGGCAGCTCGGACTTACGAAAAGCCCATAGCCATAGCCGTAGTAGCAAAGTAGGCGACCCTGAGGCCTTGTGGGGTAGTATAATGGAACAATAGAATCCCAACAGTTAGCCTGTCATTCCCCGAGGATGCTGGAGCAGTATGTATTTTCACCAAGCCCAAATGTTCGGGTTTGGGGTTAGCTCTGTCGGCAGTTAAAGCTTGAAACTTCAAAGAAGATGAGGATTTATGTTTGGAGTTCTTTTCAAAACCGTTCGGGAATGCTAGCAGCTGAGCGGATTGCATGCGAAATTAAGACCTAGACCCTATAGCATGATTGAAACTGGATGACTTGACGAGGGGCTCTTCATGCCTTCGGGACGGTCGGAACTCAGAGCGCAAGACTTGACTGGAAACTGTCTTTATGGTCATCACTAGGGTTCTGTGGCATCCCTTCAAGTATGCCTTGCCTTGCCATGTTCAAGCTGCCAAAGGTCCATCAAGGCAGGTTACCCAAAAACTTAGCACACGAGTCGGACAAAGAACCCCAGGATCCTTCTGGCCTTCGTTGCTTTCTGCCCGGCGCCGAGCGCCGAGCGCGACGTCAGCTTCGTGCAGCTGGAGACGGTGCTCTCATCCAGGGACCCGGGCTCTGAGGGAGCCCTTCTGAGCGTGGCTGGCGGCGAAGGAGTCGGGGTCTGAGGGTTGGGTTTCTTCGCGTTTGTTCGGGGTTTGGCAGTAGCAGAAGCACTAGCGACAGCGGGTTTCCCGCCTTGAGGAGGTGGACATCTGAGAGTTCTCCGATGTTTGCACCTATTGAGAGGTTTGGGAGGGTCTTGAGGTTGATTAGGGTGTTGTCAAGAGCTCTTGTCCAGAACGGAAAAAGCTCTTGTGAGTATCCTAGGTCCTACTATTTCATCCATCCGAGGATTCTCCAGATCAGATGCCAAAACTGAGAGACACCGCTAGGCCCACACGTCGAATTACACTACCAGTCCTTGTCATGACACCAACAGAATCGCACCTGACATGAACTATCGGGCTATCGATTCTGTGACTTGGGCTCGGGAGGGTGCTTGGTGAAGCCCATCCCATATGCCCTGAACCCGATACCCTTATAGAACCTCGAATCCCAAACTCCTCCCTGGAGGCCTTGCAACAAGACCGTGGGAGGTGTATCACTTCCTGGCGGTGGCCTATCACAAGAGCGGGGTGGATCTCATGAACCCTCTCTGGGAATTCATAAGGGTAGTGGAAGTTTACGAAGCATCATTTTACATGTGTTTTTTGCTTTTGGGGTTTCTGCATAGCATCCTTTCACAGAGACCGTTTGAGCTTTCTGCTTTCTGGGGGCATACGATTTGGGTCTGGGGGTTTGGGACGTACCTTTCGAGTTTGGGGTGCAAGGTTGAATTAGGGCTTGGAGCTTAGGATCCTTGAGTTTGTGGTTGAGCCACGTCGAATATTGTGTACATGTATGCACATCTCTCTGTCGGTCTGTCTGTAGGGTTTAGGGGTTTAGGGTTTAGGGTTTAGGGTTTAGGGTCTGTCTGTCTGTCTGTCTGTCTGTCTGTCTGTCTGTCTGTCTGTCTGTCTGTCTGTCTGTCTGTCTGTCTGTCTGTCTGTCTGTCTGTCTGTCTGTCTGTCTGTCTGCCCTGCGAGTTTGCAGGCCCTGCTTGCGCGTTTGAGGTTATCCATGCAGGGCTCGCGATTGTATTAGGCCGATTAGGCCCTACACCCTCAACCAACCCCAACCCGGAACTCAAAACCACCCCACAACCCTAAAACTCAAAGCCTGAAGCAACCCTAAACGCCCTAAAACCTGAACCCGAAACCCTAAAGCGAAGGTGGTCTGCGATGCCCGATCGGACCACCATTGAGCGTCATAGGACTAGTATGCTCGACAATTTGAGACAAGTTGCCACCTCGCTTTGGAGCCCTTGTAACAAGGATCCTTTCCCAGTTGATACTCGTTCCCAGCATCAAGCCGATGGCAGTTTCGGCCCCGTGTCTTCGATCCAGGAAAAATCTACTCCATGATATCTTCCATGCTCTCGGGGCACCGGACACGGCCATCGGGAAGTGGTGCCGCCCGCCCTGTGGACTCAAGGGGCACTCGTTTTTGGCCTCGGGGCTTTTGGGGCTTTGAGGGTTCAAACCCAGAACCGTGGGTTTCTTCAATGTGAACCCGAAGCTTCAATCCCGAAACCCTTGTTGCCTTTAGCAGAGGATCTGAAGTGATACAGGTAAAGCATGAGAATGATTTTCGGTAGTGGCTTTTCAGGGCTCAACCTGAAAAGCGCCTGGGGCCCATTTACCCTCGCCCCCGAACCCCCATGGAGCCCTTCTCAAGCTTCAGGTGCTATCCTAACACCTGTGCCAATCCGACTGCGCCCATCCGTGTGCTTCTGGACATGTACTCCCCGGAAGTCGAGGACGATGCCTCAGTTCTCAAACCCAGTGCCTGCAGCAGGGCTTGGATGACAAGTATTCAGGGTCCGAGGTTTCTAGGGTTTAGGAACACTAAACCCTAAACCCTAAACCCTAAACCCTAAACCCTTAGGATGTAGGGTTCAGGGTTCAGGGTTTACCCGGCTGATAGGTTTCGGAGTTGCGGAAGGGCTTCGGTTCCTTTGGCCTCCGGAGCCTCGGGGGTTCCTTTAGGGAGTCGCCCTTGTAGAAACTCTTAAAAGGAACCCTGGAGCGAAGACCCCCATGGGGTGGGCAAAGGATGCCCACTGCTTGTGGGGTTTCAGGGTTTTGGGGCCTTCCTTGAAGATTTTGCAAGCCCCGACGGTCACAACTCTTCGCCCCCTTCCGTCATACCTTCCAAACCTTCAGCTCTCTATCTTAAAACCCTAAACCCAAGGCCCCAAAACCCTGATTCCCCAGCCGTGAAAATCCAAAACCCCAAGCCCAAACCCTCAACTCTAGGCCCTAAACCCCCTAAGCCCTCCGACCCAGGCCCGGGAGCGAGCGTCCGCTCCTCAGGGCATGCGCGTGGCCGGCAGCGTGCCTTGGTTGGCTTTTGGGGTTTTTAGGGTTTTGGGGTTTAGGGGCCGTTTGGGGCTCATGCAAGGAGGAGGCCCGGCCCGCTAGGTCTCGGGGATGTACTTCAGAGGCCTTCACGTGACATTGGGAAGGCGTTAGACCAATGTCTGTGATCCTTCCTTACCCTAAGCTTGAAAAAGCCCTAAGCCTCAAGCTTTAGCCAAGACCAAAAAGATCCTCAAGCCACGAGTGCAGAGTTCTATGCCCCCAGCCCTAAATCCCACCATCTACGCCCTACATCAACACCTCTAAACCCTAAACCGCTGAACCCTGAACCGTAAATCCTAAACGCCTGAACCCTAAACCCTAAACCCCTGAACCCCTGAACCCTAAACCCTAAACCACAAAACCGTAAATCCTGCTTGGCATGTGAGGTTCGCAACCCTCTGGATATGGTCGCCTCTGCTCCTCGGTCAAGAAGTGGGGGTCAAGGATTCAGGGCTTAGGTTTAGGGCTCTGGGATTTAGGGCTTAGGTTTAGGGCTCTGGGGTTTAGGGCTTGGGTTTGGGGCTCTGGGGTTTAGGGCTTAGGTTTAGGGCTCTGGGGTTTAGGGCTTAGGTTTGGGGCTCTGGGGTTTAGGGCTTGGGTTTGAGGGTTGAGGGTTTAGTAGGGAGGATTTAGTTCTTATCTTAGGGTTCGGGGGCTCGGGGGCGATACCGAAACCTAGGGCGCGAATCTTGCTGCAGGATGAGTCGCAAGTTCATTCGGCTAGCCCAAGTCCTGAAGTTCGAATCCCAAACCCTACACCAGGGGATCGCCAGCTCTTCGACCGCAAAGCCCTGACCCTAAACCATTTGAAAAGTTCTGCATGGCGAAGCCCTAGAACCCTAAATCCGCATGTCGCAGCCTGCGAGCATGCAGTCCGTGACTTCCAGGAAGACTGGGTCTAGGGGTTGGGGTGTACCGTGTAAGGCTTCCCAAAGGGACGGCAAATTTTCAAGTCCCAGCAGCCATTTAAGTCCAACGCCCTTGCAGATCCTAAATCCCTCTCTAGCCCTGCTTTAACTCTGAGCCCTTGACAGGAACTTGCGCTGAACCGCGGAAATCCCCAAGTAGTAGAGTCCGAAAAAACAAGCCAAATTTGACACACCTTCAAGTCTTAAAATAGGTTACCGGCTCTTTTGCCGCTAATAGTCAGTCTCAAGAAAGAATGCTGAAAATCTAAAGTTCAACAGGGCTACTGGTGCAAATAGTACAAGAGTGTAACAGCGTCTATCATTGTTTGTTCCATTCATGCTTCTGGGTGGACACTCCGAGACAATACCGGAAGCACCACTCACCACCCTGCCAACGAAGTCTCGCGTTTTGCCACGACCCCCCTCATCCGAAACCGCTACTTCTTATCGAAGCTCTAACTCGGAAACGATCGATGACTGCTCCGATCGCCCCTAAACCCTAAACCCTAAACCCTAAACCCCCATATAGGCCTCTCAAGCCCAGGCATACTGTTACCACATTCGGATGCAGGAGCCCCTGCCGCTTGCCCTGGCTCCGGTTTCTGGAGAGTAGGGTTTAGGGTTTAGGGTTTAGGGTTTAGGGTAGTAGCCTTGTTAATTAAAGGCTCCTGGGACTTATGGGAACAGTTCAAGGGGCCAGAGGGTTTTATGCGGGCTTGCAGCTCAGGTTCTCGTAGCTTTGACCTCGAAGCCCTAAACCCTGAAACCCAAAACGCTAAACCCTACTAAACCCTAAACGCTGAACCCTACTAAACCCTAAGCCCTAAACCCTACTAAACCTAAGCCCTAAGCCCTACTAAACCCAAACCCTAAAGTTTAGGGTTTAAAACCCTACTAAACCTAAACCCTCAACCCTCGACTCTGAAGCCCGAACCAGGAGACCTCCGAAGTCGACGGAAGTATTCAGGGCTCTGAGGGTTTAGGGTTTAGGGTTTAGGGTTTAGGGTTTAGGGTTTCGGATGATG